GGAAAGGTGTGAGAGAGTGCGCGCGTGGAGCTCGCAAAGGGGGGGGGGAATCTCCCCTTAGCTCCCCCCCCCCCCCTTGGGCCCCCCTGCTGGAAGCTCCCCCCCCTCCCCCTTTTTGGTCCCCCCCTGGGAGCTGCCCCTCCCTCCCCCCTTTCTGCCGCTCCGGAAGCTACCCCCCCCCTCCCCCCTTTTCCAGAAAGAGGAGGGGGGCTTAGCCATCCCCCCCCCCCCCTGGACCCTCCTTGCTGGAAGCTACCTCCCCCCCTCCCCCCCTTTTCTGTCCCCCCCCGGAAGCTACCCCCCCTTTCTGCCGCTCAGGAAGCTACCTCCCCCCTCCCCTCCTTTCCAAAGGGGGGGGCTTAGCTACCCCCCCCTTTGGACCCCCCCTTCTGGAAGATACCCCCGTCGCCGTCGTCGTCGCCGTCGCCGTCGCTCGACGTCTTCGCACGACGCCGTCGTCGTCCTCGTCGTCGTTGTCGCCGCCGTCGCCGTCATTGTCGCCGTCTTCGCATGACCTCGTCGTGGTCGTCACGACGAGGACGAGGTCATGCGAAGACGGCGACGGACGACGGACGACGCGCGACCGACGACCGACGACGACGACGACGACCCAGGGTCAGAGAAAACGAGACCACGACACAGGGGCTGAGAAAACGAGGAAACGAAGCAGGGTCCGAGAAAACGAGACCACGGCCCAGGGGCTGAGAAAACGAGAAAACGAACCAGGGTCCCAAAAAACGAACCAGGGTCCGAGAAAACGAGACCACGACCCAGGGGCATAGAAAACGAGAAAACGAACCAGGGTCCGATAAAACGAGACCACGACCCAGGGGCCGACAAAACGAGACAACGAGAAAACAAACCAGTGCCCGAGAAAACGAAACCACGACCCAAGGGTCCGAGATAACGAGAACACAACCCAAGGGCCGAGAAAACGAGAAAACGAGACAATGACCAGGGCCCGAGAAAACGAAACAAAATGCAGAAGCCGAGAAAACGAGATAACGAGACAATGAACCAGGGTCCGAGAAAACGAGATAACGACCCAGGGGCCGAGAACAAGAGAAAACGGTAAAACAAACCAAGGTCTGAGCAAACGAGACCACGACCCAAGGGCACAGAAAACGCTAACATCCGTCTTAGAAAACGAGACCACGACCCAGAGGCCGAGAAAACGAGAAAACGATAAAAGGAATCAGGGCCCGAGAAAACAAGACCATGAACCAGGGGCCGAGAAAACGAGGAAACGAGAAAACAAACCAGCGTCCGAGAAAACGAGACTACAAACCAAGGGTAGAGAAAACGCGAAAACAATAAAACAAACCAGGGCCTGTGAAAACTGGACCACGACCCAGGCGCCGAGTAAACAAAAAACGAGAACACGAACCAGGGTCTGAGCAAATGAGACCACGACCCAGGGGCCGAGAAACCGAGAAAACGAGAAAACGAAACGAGGTCCGAGAAAACGAGACCACGACCAGGGGGCAGAGGAAACGCAAAAACAATAAAACAAACCAGGGCCTGAGAAAACTGGACCACGACCCAGGGGCCGAGAAAACAAGAAAACGAGAACACGAACCAGGGTCCGAGAAAACAAGACCACGACCCAGGGGACGATAAAGCAAGAAAAATAGATAACGAATCAGGGTCAGAGAGAACGAGACCACGACCCAGGGGCCGAGAAACCGAGAAAACAAGACAACTAACCAGGGGCCGAGAAAACGAGACAAAAACCGAGGGGCCGAGAAAACGAGAGAACGAGAAAACGAACCGGGGCCCGAGAAACCGAGACCACGACCCAGGGGCCAAGACAACGAGAAAACGAGAAAACGAACCGGGGCCCGAGAAAACGAGACCACGACCCAGGGGCCGAGAAAACGAAAAAACGAACTAGGGTCAGAGAGAACAAAACCACAATCCAGGGGCCGAGAAACGGAGAACACGAGAAACCGAACCAGGGTCCGAGAAAACGGGACCACGATCCAGGGGCCGAGAAAACAAAAAACGAACCAGGGTCCGATAAAACGAGACCACGACCCAGGGGCCGAGAACACGAGAAAACGAGAAAACTAACAAGGGTCCGAGGAAAAATGAAACCACGACCCAGGGTCCGAGAAAACGAGAAAACGAGACAATGACCAGGGCCCGAGACAACGAAACAAAAACGCAGAAGCCGAGAAAACGAGATAACGAGACAATGAACCAGGGTCCGAGAAAACGAGATAACGACCCAGGGGCCGAGAACAAGAGAAAACGGTAAAACAAACCAAGGTCTGAGCAAACGAGACCACGACCCAAGGGCACAGAAAACGCTAACATCCGTCTTAGAAAACGAGACCACGACCCAGAGGCCGAGAAAACGAGAAAACGATAAAAGGAATCAGGGCCCGAAAAAAACAGCACAAAACATCAAAAGCCGAGAAAGCGAGAAAACGAAACAACGAACCAGGGTCCGAGAAAACGAGACCACGATCCAGGGGCCGAGAACACGAGAAAACGAGAAAACGGACCAAAGTCCGAGCAAACGAGACCACGACCCGAGGGCACAGAAAACGCGAAAACGAACAAGGGTCAAAGAAAACATGACCACGACCCAGGGTCCGAGAAAACGAGAAAACGAAACAACGAACCAGGGCCCGAGAAAACGAGACTACAAACCAGGGGCCGAGAAAACGAGAAAACGAGAAAACGAACTGGGGCCCGAGAAACCGAGACCACGACCCAGGGGCCGAGAAAATAAACGTGAAAACGAATCAGGCCCCGAGAAAACGAGACCACGACCCAGGGGCCGAGGAAATGAGAAAACGCGAAAACGACCCACGACCCAGGGGCCGAGGAAACGAGAAAACGATAAAAGGAACCGGCCGAGAAAACGAGGAAACGAGAAAACGAAGCAGGGTCAGAGAAAACGATACCACCACCCCGGGGCCGAGACAACGAGAAAACGAGAATACTAACCAGCGTCCGAGAAAACAAAACCACGACCCAGGGACCGAGAAAACGAGAAAACGAAGCAGGCTCCGAGAAAATTTGACCACGACCCAAGCGCCGAGAAAACGAGAAAGCGAGAAGACGAACCAGGGTCAGAGAAAATGAGACCGCGACCCAGGAGCCGAAAACACGAGAAAACAAGAAAACGAACCAGGGGCCGAGAAAATGAGAAAACCATAAAAGGAATCAGGGCCCGAGAAAACGAGACTACGAACCAGAGGCCGAGAAAACCAGAAAACAAGAAAACGAACCAGGGGTCGACGTTATTCTCCAATGCGTTCTCTAGCCCTGCGGTGCGCACCTGTCGTCAGAGATTCCGCCATTTTGCCAGAGCCCCGGAAGGGAGGTGGGGGAGTTGGCTTCGGAAGCCCCCCCCCCCCTTACAAAGGAGGGGGAGGGGGGTAGCTTGAAGCAGCCCCCCCTGTGTCCAGACCAAAAAAGGAAGGAGGGGGGGGTAGCTTCCGAAGCTCCCCCCCCCCTTCGAAAGGGAAGCCCAGGCTCACCTTCTGCTCCGGAACAGGGAGAGAGAGAGAGAGAGAGAGAGAGAGGGGGGGTAGCTTCGAAGACCCCCTTTTTAAGCCAGGGCTCCCCTAGCTCAGAAACCCTTACAGAAGGGATGGGGGTAGCTTCGGCTCCTTTTTAAGTAGTGAGTTCCGTACGGGCGCGCTCTTTCTAAGGTGTTCTGGCATGATTAAAGATTGACAGGACGCAGCAGTCACGTTGATTCGCAGTGGTAACGTCCCAAGAGTGGTGGTCTGGCACGAGTCAGGACTGTCAGGACACAGCAGCCATGGTGACTAGCGGCGCTGAAGTCCTAGGAATTGTGATCTGGCGCAGTTCAGGATTCTCAGACGGTTGTCTTCCAATGGGGCAGTTCCCGCAATTGAAACAGATTTTGTAGAGATTTATGGAGGGGGAACTTGGAAGGAGGGTTTATTGCAGCATCGATGGCGCGTCTTGGGTTTGCATTGGTTCTTCTCTTTTTCCACCTCCATCCATCCATCCGAGGGAGCGAGAGAGAGAGAGAGAGAGAGAGAAACAAAAAAAAAAAAAAAAAAAAAAAACAGAGCAGGAGATGCGGGAGAAGGAGGTGGAGGAGCAGGACGAGGAAGGGCAGCGTTCGGAGAACTCAGACTCCATCAGGAACCAGCAACCAGCAGGAAGAGTTCCTTCCCTCCCTCCCTTCCTCCTTCGGCGTTGGCCGAGGGAGCGGGGATCCAATGGTGTAGGTCCCTGGACGAACCGATCCGCATCGTAAACGCCCTAAGAGGGGCAGGAGGTGGAGAGGGAGGAAGCAGGAGGTGCATGACGAGGTAAAACGCGATCCATTGTTCCTCACTGGTCCCACATTCGTACCTGGAGGTTTCCACAGGGTCCCCACAGGTCCCCATGGAGAGGTCTCAAGAGGTCTCCAGATAGTTCCATCGGCACCCAGATGTAGACTCCATGCTTGCGAGGGGATTCGAACGTGGCGAAGATAAGTGCACAGGTTAATGATGGTGAATGATGACAGCATCGGTGTAAGCGGTAATGTTGGAGATATGATTGCAGTCGAAGCGTGTGAACCGCTGTCGATACGCCCAGCCTCACGTACACTCGAAACGGTTCGGGCAAAATGATTGCACAGGTGTTGCCTAGATGTTCCGCTTAGAGAAACTGTTGTTTGCACCCTTGCTTGCTCAGTGCACTGCTACCGCAACACGGACCAGCATCTGAAGGCACATGTTCACAACAGAGGTCTCTCAAGGCCCCCAGAGGCCTCCAGAAGCCCATAGAAGTTCCAAGCACATTCAGATTCGGACGCCTCGTCGTGGACGTCGTTGTCGTCGTGGTCGTCTTCGTCTTCGTCGTCGTCGTCGTCGCCGAGCCGCCATCTGGCTCAGCGGCCGAAGGCTGCCGTGAGGGCACTCGGCCCTGGCCGCTGCGGAGCCATGGGCCTCCCGCCGGAGGGGCGCGCCGCGGAGGGCGGCGCCGCGCCCTCCGCGTCTGCCGCGCCCGCCGCCGCCGAGGTCGCCCCCGCCGCGGCGGGCGAGGTGCACGCGCTGCTCGCGGGGATCGGCCTGGCCAGGTACTCGCAGAGGATCCCTGGGCCTCCCAGATGGGGTCTGCACAGACGGGGTCGGAGGATCGCGCCGCATCGCCGATGCATCGCCGATGCGTCGCCGATGCGTCGCCGATGCGGCTTGGTGCGGAGCCCGGTCTTTTCCAGGCCGACGTCGCCGATGAGTCGCCGACCTCCGACCCCATCTACGCCGACTCCATCTGGGAGGCCTCTAGGATCGCCGCCGCCGGCGTCGCCACGGTGGAGGCGCTGCGCGCCCTGCGAGACGAGGACCTGGTGGCGGCCCAGAGGGGGGCGATGACCAGGGTGGGGTGCGTATCGTGGCGGGGGCCGTGTTATCTCCCCAGGTCCCGTGGGTCACATGTGTGCGTGTGTGTGTTAGTGTGTGTGCGTTGATCATCCCATCCTGCCCGAAACCAGGGCCAGTGCAGGTATTTGTCTCAGCCCTGTCCAGTGCACAACGCCAATCGGCCACGTGGACGGGACACCTTCGGCTCTGTTCATTCACGTTTCATTCCCGTCAGCTTTTTTGTTGAAAGAAAAAGATATCTCGCCAAATCTCGTCATCATGCCCCCTGGCACCACACCCGCCCTGCGCCGTACACCTGTCTCGGGCCATGCTCTGCGAGCCCCCCCTCGTGGTCGCCCCCGAGAGGACATGCGCCAGGCGGGCATGCTGCCAGGGCACGTGCGCCTGCTCAAGAAGCACCTGGCGGCGAGGGCGGCCGAGGCGGGCGGCGCGCCCAAGGAAGTGGCACCAGGGGAGGGGGGAGGCGGCCCACGAAGGCGCTGCGGCGAGCCTCTCGGCAGGGCACAGGGAGGGGCCCTGCTGGGAAGTCCTCCTCCATCCTCCATCCTGCACCCTGCTCCTCCTCCTCCACCTCCCCCTCCATCCATCCATCCATCCATCCAACCATCCATCCATCCATCCTCCCTCCGCCTCCTCATCCGCCTCCTCCTCCTCCTCTTCCTCCACCTCCTCCTTCTCCTCATCACCACCATTACCACCACCACCACCATCATCATCATCATCATCAGCATCATCATCAGCAGCAGCAGCAGCAGCAACAGCATCATCATCACCATCACCATCACCATCATAAAACTAATAGTAATGATAGTAATAGTAGTATTAATATGAACAACAACAACACCAACAACACCAACAACAAGAACAACAACAACAGCAACAATACTAGTAATACTAATAGTAATGATACTGATCATCATCATCATCATCATCAGCAGCAGCATCATCATCATCATCAACATCAACATCAGCATCAGCATCCGCATCATCATCATCAGCATCCGCTTCATCAGCATCATCATCATCACCATCAGCATCATTATTATCAGCATCATCATCGTCATCAGCATCATCATCATCATAATCCTCATGATCCTTCTCATTCTCATCCTTCATCCTCCATCCTCCACCCTCCGTCCTCCATCCTCCATCCTGCATCATGCACCCTGCATCCTCTATCCTCCTGCTCCATCCTCCTCCTCCTCCTCCGCCCTCCGCCCTCCTTTCTCCTCCGCCCTCATCTGCCCTCCTCACTCCTCCCTCCTCCTTCCTCACTTCTCCCTCCTCATCATCAGCAGCAGCAGCATCATCAACAAGATCGTCCTCATCATCATCACCATCATCATCATCATCATCATCAATAACAACATCAGTATCATCCTCATCATGCTCAGCATCATCATCAACACCATCATCCTCATCATCCTCATCATCCTCATCATCATTATCATCAGCAGCAACATCAGCATCGCCATCATCATCGTCATCGTCACCGTCATCACCACCACCACCATCACCATCACCATCATCATCATGATACTTGAACGCGACCTTTCCCCTACTCGTCTCACTGAACGGCCCCTCTGATATCATTACTGTGCACGCACTCTCATGATGCTTTAACGCGGCCAATCGAATGATAACCCAGAGGGATGCATTGCGTAGCCTGCCACCAGACGCCACTGAAATCGATTGAAACTGTGTCCCGTATCCCATCAAGAAGAGAGAGTCCCATCTTCAAGAATGGTTTGGCTTCGGGCGGGTTGTGGAGGGAGAAGCCGTAGGTCTCGGCCTGGAATTAGTGAAAGACGAAACACCAGCCACGTGCTTTTGAGCCCACAGCGATCTGAAAGCATGTGCCACAGCAGAGCATAACTGTGGAGGGTGGTGGTTTGCTCGATCTGTCTTCCAGCCAGTTGACTCGTTTCCTTCGAGGGTGTTCATGAGGCCTACCCGAGCGCGAACATATACCTGCTTTGACAGTGCGCTAGTGATCTAAGAACGTGTCGTCAAAATCTGAGGACATCAGGATGGAGGTCCGCTCCCGGAAGTCGGTCCCGAACTGGTACTGGTCAAAAACGATGATTTTCGCATTCTTCGAGTTGCCGAGGCTTCTCAGAAACAGCACGTCCCAGAGCATGGAGGAGGCGGGGTTTGGGATCATGAACGGGATGTCATATCGAAGTGTTTGCCCAACTAGCTTGCACATAACTTTCGCAAGCCTGTTGCCTTCAAGACACACCTTTTCGATCCTTTTCGGGTAATCCCAGGAAGCCCCAGATCCTCTCAGGGGAATGGACAGCACTGGGAAAGGGAGGGGACCGCGGAGCCCGTCTAACTATGCTGAAGGAGCGGCACGGCGTAGCCATGAAGATTCCTTGTGCTCCGCCCGCGCTCATCAATCGCATTAGCGCAGGCAGCACGCCTGGCGAAAAAATATCCGTATCAAGGTCGAGCTCGACCTCTAGCGACGAGATGCCACACCTCGCAATGGCCTGGCCGATCCCCGCGGTGCCCGCGAAGACATCGAGGAAGACGTCGCCTCGGTCCAGCCAGGCTGTCGGGGTGCGATGACCACGTCGAGGAGGATGAACCCAAGCTGCTCGCAGCAGCGCCTGAGGTACTCCTGGACGTCTGGCGGCAACTCCACCAATTGGGCGCTGACCTTGCTGGACTTCCCGTACCTGATGAGCGAGCTGACGCTGGCCCAACACCCGCGCCTCTGCACCTCCAGTTGCGATCTCCCGCCGGTGATCACGTCCCACGATGGGCCCGCATGGCGCAGGCTGTACGGTACGATGCCTGTCTTCTCGAGGCGGCACAGCTTCACGGCCTGCGAGAAGAGGTTACCGAGCTCCACCTGCGAGAACGTCCACAGCGGGTCCTTCGGCAGTTTGCCTCTGCGGTGCTGCTCGAGGAAGTGGCCCAGGAACTGCAAGTGTTCGTGGTCGAGCGTCACGTTGTCGTCGCACACGCCCGTCTTGGTCGGGTCTCCGTTGTCGTCGGAGGGCCCGAGGATGAGCGACCACTTCTGGTACTAGCCAACTGCGGGCGGGACGACATCTCGAACGCGGAGTCCACACAACTCCCCTGGCCGCAAGTAGGCGCTGAGCGCGACCAGCACCGCCACCGCCACATCCGTGCGACCCAGAAGGTGAAGGACCACAGCCAACCCGCAGATGGTCGGATACGACTGAGGTAACCGACCCAGCGCTGGTCGTCGCCGCCCCCACGCCTTGAGGGACCTCTCGAACCTGGCGAGCGGCTTGGTGTTGGGCCTCTTGAGGTTCGGGTAGAAGTATAGAACGGCAGCCTTCAGCTTCTCGCCATCGTGCTTCTTCCTGCCCTCCAGGTACGCGTGGTCTGCAGAGCCTCCTCCAAGAGGTCCAGGGTGTCGAGCTTCAAGTCCTGGCGGCGAGCGAATGCGAAGAACTCCTCGATGCGCCTCTTGTAGTCCTCGATCTGAACAGGCCGCACCGCGATGCTTTCCAAGTACGAGATGCCCCCGCTGCTGGCTAAGCACTGGGCGGCAGCCTGCCTTGTCGAGGGTGTGACCCGCGAGTCGCCGCGAGTCGCCGCGACGCCGGGCTGGCGTCACTGGCGGTCAGAGCAGGACCGGCAACTCGGATGGACCTGGTCTTGCGTCCGCCAGTTGCAACGGCACCCTGGCGCGTCGGTCCAGGCGCCCAAGTGGCAGCGCAGCTGTCACTTCTAGGCGCCTGGTCACGTTGCGAGTCACCACACCTGCCGAAGGCCTCCGTCTCGTCGCAGGCGCCCTCGTCACCACCCTAGTCATCAGGATGAGCAAGCCCAGGAGGAAGACGCCACGAGTGACCAGGAGCTTCCAGCGCGGGCTCCCACAGGCGCGAAGGTCGATTGACAGGACTGACCTCGGACGGGATCCAGCGGCACTGTACCCGCAGGCCAGTGGCCAGCTGAAGGGCAGCCATCTGTCTAAGCTGGCCCAGCAGAGCGCGGCCCCTGCACCCGCCCTTCTGGAGTGCGAGCACCAGGCCCATGTTGTCCACCAGCATGAGGACCTTACTGTGTCGCCAGCGGCCGCATCGCACCACGTGCTTGAAGCCCAGCTTGACCCCTCGCGCTTCCTTGACGTGGATGGCCCCTTCATGCTCGCCACACGGCCGCTTAGCCACCACGGCCCACTTCGCCTCGGTAACCGAGGCAGGGTGGATGTCTGGGAACTCGTCACACGCGAGCCAGGCCGCCCCCCCGTCTTCACAGATGAGGTTGCCGTCCCTGTCGATCGGGAGCTCGCCCATCTCGTAGCCGGCCAAGGCGACCTCTCGGTGTTTGCGATGCGGGTCCTTCTTTAACCTCCAGCGCTCGCCCTGACGATCTGCGAGTCTAACAGCATCAGGCGACCATTCAGCAGCACACACGCCAAGTCCAGTCTGATTGGCGTCGGCGGCCACCACCTGGTCCAGCCAGCCCGCCCCGAGGTCCGCGTGGACCAGCGACAGGATGGCGGTGCCGATGAGCAGCTCCCGCTTGACGCTCGGCCAGATGTTCTTGTTCTCGTTCCCTGCGGACTCTGCGAAGGCGAAGGCGGCCGCGATGCAGGATAAGCAGGGGTGCCGAAGTAAGAACGCGAAGCACAGGTGTCCCATGATGGCCCGCATCTCCCTCCCTGTACAGCGGCCTCGCCGTACGAGGGCACGCAGTCCTGCATAAAGGCGCCACGCACGCTGCGACGAGAGAGTGACCACCTGCCTCTGGCCATCCATGTGCACGCCCACGATGTCCATGGAGGTGCTGACCTGCTCGATCTCGTGGACCTGGAAACCCGCCTTCCGCACGCCATCAAGTGCACGTCTATGTAGCTCTTGAACTTCGTCTCTGTCACAGTCGACGACTCCAAAGTTGTCAACGCATGCCAGGTGCACGGCTCCACCCAGTCCTGGCGGCGGCGTGCCATCTCGCAAGAGTCGAGCAGGAGGTAGACCAGCACGCAGCAGAAGTTCTTCATGAACCATTTGCGCAGCCCACATGGCCCAGGAGAAGCCCATCGGCAGCGTCTGCATCGCTGGGTGGATGAGCTCTTGCGGGTCCATTTTGATCCCGTCGATGTTGTCCACTCCCACCGACGATGCCCGAACTGGCGGCAGCGCGAAGTACTGTGACAGCGCCTCGTCGATCCTGAGCTCGTGGAAGTAATCCTTAATGTCGAAGCTGGCCGAGTATATGACCTTGTCGTGGCTGGCCTCCAGGCGGCCGAGGGAATCCCCAGTAGCGAGCTGGATGGCATCTGGAATATCAAATCGAATGTTGCTCCTTCGCGCGTTACATCTAAGCCGTAAAGCACCACTCTTCTTGCGAGCGAAAAATAGACCAACCCTCTCTATGTAAGTTCGAATACAAAGCACCAGTCCCCTGTCACGCAGTTCCCGACAAAAACCTCCCATTTAGCAGGATGTGCCTCAAGCACTGGGTCAAAGTCAAGGTTGGGCAGCCCCTCATCCTTGATACGTAATGCGTACCCCTCGCCACTGAGAAGAATGGTGCCGCGAAACCGCGTGAGCTTGTGCGGCGCAGCTTCGGGCAAGACGTTGTAGATGTCCACCCCCACCAGGTCGCGGCTCAGCAAGGAGATGGGAGCCGAGCCAAACGGTGCCATGTTCCCAGCACACTCGCTGTCACCATAGCGAGCGTCTGTATCCAGAAGCGCCGCGATGGCTTCTTGCGGGGCGGGCCTCTCCTTCTGCAAGGGTGCAGCGGTAACTGAATCTCGAACCAGTGCAAGGGCAGCCCTCGTCTGTTCACCTCCTGGTCAGCCCGGTGATGCACTGCCGACGCCCCCCAGCTCGTTGAGGGCCCAAATGATCTCATCGGAACGCTTGTCCATCTAAGCGCGCCTGCACATTCGTTGTCGAACTCCACGACTAAGGGGGCTACGAGGGCTCTCCCGATCATGGTGTCGAGGCAGCGGCAACAGGTCACGCTGGCGACTGTCGGCTACGCTCCGATCAAAAACTCGCCGCCGCCCTCGAAGAAGCCAGCGACTGGTAGGCGGCCCGACTTGAGCCACGAAAACGGGAAAGCCGCGGGGCGGCTAGCCCTTCCTCGCAAGGGCCGCCTCCTCGCGAGCCTTGCGTCGTTCCTTCTGGATCTGCTCCTCGCCCTGAAGCTGTAGAGCAACGTGCGAGGTGGGCTGCGGCGCCACAGCCGTAACTTTCTTGCCAAGGCCCTGGAAGTGCTCGCTTCCCTCGAAACGCGGCGCCTTCGGGTTGGCGGTGTACGCTTCCTCCAGCAGCTGAATCGTTCTCGACAGCAGCTCGAAGGACGCCAGCGCCGACACGTCCAGCTGGTCGTAGGTGATGGCCCCCTCCAGGATCTCCATGAGGCTGTCATGCTCATGCTTGACCCTGTCGTTGTCTGGGACGTGAGCATCTCGCATCCACTTCTCCGTCCTGGTCCGAGACACACAACCTTGATCACGGATGAACTTACAGAGCCACAGGGTGGCCCATCAGGCCCTGGATGGGGAAATCCGTCCATGTCGGCTCCTCCAACAGGCCAATGCCATCGCTGTAGGGTCGGAAGCGCTGGCCCATCTGATCGTACAGCGCTGGTAGCACTCGAGCGTCTGGAGCCAGCACCTTTGAACCAGCCGACGCGGCTGGGGCGATCGCGGGCGGGCCCGCGATGGCCGCCGCCAGGCCGCCAGGTGGTGGCGCAGCTGCCACCGCCACCTCCAGCTCCCGCTTCCTGGCCTCGAGGAGGTTGGCCTTGCTGCCCACGACGGTGCACTCCAGGACGAGGGTGGCCGATCCCAGCTTGACGAGGGCGAACTTCCCCTGGCTGATGGCACTTGCATCCACGCTCCAGTCCTGACCGACCGCGGGAGCGCCTGGCTGACCATCGTTGGCGACCACGATCCGCTCGGTGGCGGCCCCAGCAGCGGCCAGCCCAGGCGCGACGACCCCCGCGGCGACTCCAGGCCTAGGCCCAGCACCAGCTTCGGCGATGGCGCCTCCACCAGGCTGCGGCCCCGCGACCGCTCCACCCACGGCGGGTGCTGCCGCAGCGGCCTGACCTCCGGGCAGCCCAGTGCCAGCAACCCAGCCATGGTCAGCCACACGGTCGCGAACAGCACCCGCCTCGGCGTCCGCCGCGCGGTCGTCGATCCCCATGGCCGCCCGCCGCATCTGCGTGGTCGCGATCCCGTCGTCGAAGATGTGGCGCCATTCGTCGTTCGTGTGGAGCTGCCCAAGCGGCGGGAATCGGTACCGCAGCGCATGGGCGGGGATCGCCGGCGGCACGGACACTTGGACACAAGGTCGGCCACCCAACGCCATGATATCCTCCGGGTAGCCGTCGTCACCAGGCGTTGCGATGACCCAGGTCGTTCCCTGGCCCTGGCAAAGCAGGAGGCGCTCGTGCCAGTACGCCTCCCTGCCCCCGTACCACACCAGGATCAGACGACCTGGCGCGATCGGCCTCGAGTCGCCCATGCACACGGCGCAGCCCTGCACCCCAGATGACCCCCGCGCAGCAGCCAGTCGCCAGCCCCAGGAGGCCCACGACCACCACCACGATGAGCCACCAGCGTCCGAGGCCCTGCGCCACCTCCGGGCAGCTGGCCTCCGGGCAGCTCAGGCAGGCCGCGCCCCCGAGCGTGCAGGGCGGGCATTGCAGGACAGGGCACGCCAGGTGTGGGGAGCACGTGCAGTCTGGGCAAGCGCGGTCGCTCTGCCCAGCCCACACCAGGGACGCGGTGCCCGCCGTCCGCAGAGCCTCCCGAGCAGCGTCCGCCAGCACGTCGCCGAGCCAGCAAGACATGCACGGGCGGTCCCTTGTGGTCGGAGAGGCGGCGCGCAGACCCTCCGAACAACGAAAGGCTACGGGCGAGGCAACGGGCGAGGCACGCGAAGCTCCTGCTACCTTCCCCCTACTCGTCTCACTGAACGGCCCCTCTGACATCATTACCGTGCACGCACTCTCATCATCATCAGCAGCAGCAGCAGCAGCAGCATCAGCATCAGCATCATCATCATTATCCTCATCAGTATCCTCATCGTCATCTTCAGCAGCAGCAGCATCAGCATCAGCATCAGCATCACCAGCATCATCATCATCATCATCATCATCAGCATCAGCAGCAGCATCAGCATCATCATCAGCATCATCATCAGCAGCAGCATCAGCATCAGCAGCATTATCATCATAATCCTCCTCATCCTTATCATCATCATCATCATCAGCATCATCATCATCAACAACAACAATAACAACAGCAGCAGCAGCATCCTCATCCTCCATCCTCGTCATCATCCTCTTCATCCTCATCATCATCATCATTATCATCATCATCATCATCATCATCATCATCAACAACAGCAGCAGCAGCAGCATCCTCATCCTCCATCATCGTCATCATCCTCTTCATCCTCCGCATCATCATCCTCATCCTCATCCTCATCATCACCATCATCATCCTCATCATCCTCCTTCCTCCTCCTACTCCTCCTCCTTTCTCCTCCGCCTCCTCCTCCTCCTCATCATCATCATCCCCCCCCTCCTTCTCCTGCTCCTCGTCATCATCATTATTATTATCATCAGCAGCAGCATCATCAGCATCAGCAGCAGCAGCATCCTCAGCATCATCATCATCATCATCAGCATCATCATCAGCATCATCATCATCATCCGCATCATCATCAACATCATCATCTTCAGCATCATCAGCAGAATCCTCCTCATCCTTATCATCATCATCATCATCATCATCATCATCATCATCATCGACAGCAGCAGCATCCTCATCCTCCATCCTCATCATCATCCTCCTCATCCTCCTCCTCATCCTCATCATCCTCATCCTCATGCTCATCATCCTCATCATGCTTCATCCTCCAGCCTCCTCTTCCCTCCTCCTCCTCCTCCTCCTCCTCCTCCTCCTCCTCCTCCGCGTCCGCCTCCTCCTCATCATCCCCCCCTCCTCCTCCTCCTCCTCCTCCTCCTCCTCCTCCTCGTCATCATCATTATTATTATTATCATCATCATCATCATCATCATCATCATCATCATCATCATCATATCATCATCGTCGTCATCATCATTAGCATCATCATCATCATCAGCATACCATCATCATGATCATCAGCAGCAGCAGCAGCATCATCCTCATCATCAGCATCATCAGCAGCAGCATCATCAGCATCATCAGCATCAGCATCATCCTCCTCATCATCACCATCATCATCATCATCACCATCACCATCACCTCATCCCATCAGCATCAGCATCATCATCAACATCATCATCCTCATCATCCTCATCATCAGCATCATCATCATCAGCATCATCATCATCATCATCATCATCATCATCATCATCATCATCATCATCATCATCATCACATCATCATCATCATCAGCATCATCATCATCAACATCATCATCCTCATCATCATCAATCATCATCATCATCAGCATCATCATCAACATCATCATCCTCATCATCCTCATCATCATCAGCATCATCATCATCATCATCATCATCATCAACATCATCAGCATCATCATCCTCATCATCATCAGCATCATCATCATCAGCATCATCATCATCATCATCAGCATCAGCATCAGCATCAGCATCATCATCATCATCAGCATCAGCATCAGCATCATCATCATCATCATCATCATCATCATCATCATCATCATCATCATCATCTTCATCATCATCATCATCATCATCATCATCATCATCATCATCATCATCATCATCATCATCATCATCATCATCATCATCATCATCATCATCATCATCATCATCATCATCATCATCATCATCATCCGGCCTCTCGGATACCTTGGAGGGCATCCGAGAAGCCTCGTAGTTTCGCGCTATCTCGTAGGCGTGTCGCCACCCCTCCGCCTCTCCCCCCCGTGGCCTTGCGCGCGCCGCCAGCGAGGGGCAGCCCGGGGCCTCGGCGGGGGGCGCCCGCGCCAGCGCGCCCCCCCGCCCAGCGAAGCGGCTGCGCGTGCCGAGCGACGGCCGCGAGGCCGCCGCGCTCGTGGAGCCCGAGGCCGCCGCACTGGCGGAGGGCCGGGGCCTCCAGGTGCAGGAGATCGCCCTGAGGGCGGCGGCGGAGTTCGCCGCACTCAGCTTCGGGGGGCGTCAGCTGTCGAGGTTTTCGGGCGCGTGGTCCTCGGTGGCTTTCCAGCCTCGGGACGCTTGCCAGCGGCTGCGCCTCGCCGGGAGCATTCGGGGGGGGGGGGGCCCAGATCGTTCCGAACAGCCGCCGGAGGGGCACTCGCGCGGGCCCAGGATCGGCCCAGCCAGGACCTGAAATATCGCCGGCTGACGTCCCCGATCAGCGGGCCCGCCGGGGTCGGGGCGGAGCTGGCGGGCGCGGCGCCAGAGGGCGAGACCCGGCACTTGCTGGCGCTGCGCACCGCCCAGGCTGCCGCGGCGTGCGCGGAGCCAGAGCCTCCGGGGCCGGAGGACACGCCGCTGGCGCTGGCATTGCTGGCCGAGGATCGGCTACACGTAAGAATGACGCTTTACCGGGGTAACCCCTGGTGCGGGCCCCCCGACTGCGGAACGCGATGCGACAGGAGCGGCCTGCGCGCCAGGGTCTGGCCCCCTCGCGCCCGAAGAAGCCGCGCACCAAAGGTCACTCTTGCCTGCCGATCGAGGAGTCGGCGCAGCTGGCGGCGACGCTGCTGTCCTTCTGCTCGTGGCCGCGTGCCGACGCGGGGCAGCTGGCCGGGGCGGTGGAGGCCGCCCAGCAGGCCGCCCAGCGCGCCTCGTGGGCCGCCGTGGCCGCCGTGGCCTACCCTGACTCGCCAGACTACGACGGGGATTGGTCGCAGAGGATCAGCGGCGGCAGAAGGGGCGGATCGCCCGGGGGCGGGCATTAGAGTAAAGCTTGATAGTAAGGATGACCGATTTCCTGAGGGTACCCTTGCATCCTTGCCTCTTCGGTCATTTTCGCTTGATCCTCAAACACTTTCGATGACCAGCGCCGCTCGAAGAGCCTCGGCATGGGCTTCCAAGGCCCTCGCATCCTTACCGCGCATCCTTACTGTATGGGTTCACTGTGCACGCATTCGCCGGAGAGCCTCGTCGGAGACACGGGTGGTCCGAGCCCCCAGATGCATGTAATGTTGTCTCCTAGGTAATCCGCCCCTGTTGCACCAACCACACGTAAAGAGTGGCCCTTCGCCAGAGTGACTTTTGGTGAGGGCGCACTGGGCCCATCCGATCGCTGAGCGCGATGCGACAGCAGCGGCTTGCACCCTTGGGTCTGGCCCCACCGCGCAAAACCGTAAAACCGCGCATCATAGGTCCTTCTTTCGAGGGCAAGAATGACACAGACATAAACTTTCGGAGGTCCGCGCTGATTTCTTGGATCGGCGCTGGACCCCCCGCGCCAGGGGAGGCGCCGGAGGGCGGCTCCAACGCCGATCCCAGAAATCCGCGCGGACCTTTGAAAGTTCATGCTTATGCTATTTGTTGCTCCCCGACTCTTGCCCAGGCGGTCACTCTTGCGCGTAGCCGCGCCCTCTGCAAAACCGCGCACCATAGGCCACTCCAGCCCAGGGTCACGTGCCTCCCCACCTTGCTCCTGTTCGCGCGCGGGAAGGGCTCCTGTGCACCGCTCCCTTCGAGTTCGGGCCGATACGGACGAAGCGAGCGAAACGTCAGGCGATCTCGCTGCGGGACAAACTCGAAGGATTGCAAAAAAAACCCTTGAACGAAGGATTGCAAAAAAACCCTTCGTCCAGGGCGAAGGATTGCAAAAAAACCCTCGAAGGATTGCAAAAAAAACCCTCGGAGGGTTTTTTTGCAATCCCTCGAAGGTTTTTTTGCAATCCTTCGTCCAGGGTCCACCTCTTCCGCATAGCCGATGACAGCCGCCGAGAGGATGCGCCGCGCCGCGGTTCGGGCCGCCGAGGCGGCGGAGCAGTACGCCCGCGAGTGCGCGTCGGCCACGGCCGCGGCTGGCGCGGAGAAGGTGGCCGCGGTCCGCCGGGTGTTCTGCAAGTTCCACGCCGAGCACCGCTGCGCCAGGGGGCAGGCGTCAGAGGAGGAAATGGCACCAATACCGTTATGTACCATCGAGGAAACGCAAGCATGGATGTGCGTGGATTGGCGACAGGTCCCGCTTCCATGCAAAATCGGCGCGCTGCGACGCAAAAGCAGGAGGCATTGGCCTCATGTGTCGGGGGGTACCGGGTACCTTCGCCGGTCCATGATAGCGTGCGCCTGCTACCCTTCCCTTGTTTTCGCCGTTCTGGGCCTGGATTCTCCTCGAAATTTTATTCAGAAAGCACCCAGGGAGAAGACCAGGGAGTAGCGGTATCGGTACCTTTGTGTTCGCCGAAGGCGTGCGAGTTCACGCACGACCCCGCGGTTCTGCAATCGGGGTCTCGTAGAGGGCGGGGAATGGTCGAGAATTTCTGTTCAGCGTGTCGCGCCGCTGGTTCTGGCCCACCACGCTTCGGCGCGACACGCTACCCTAAACGTCAACGCCCTGAGCCTTTCCGAGCCTCCCGCCACGCGGAGCGTAGGGACGCCATATCCGCTTGCAGGGCATAGCGCGTCGCTGGGGCCGCCACCGCGACACGCTAAGCAAAAGTTCTCGACCGCATCTCAAGGTGAGGTTAGTGAACGAACCCAGCTCGATCCTCACACTTCCTTCTTCCAGGGGGCCGTTCAGAAAGACTTTCCTCTAACCCCACCTCCCCATCCGAACGTCCCCCCGATTCAACATGAGGAAAGGGGTCCTGAGGGAAAGAGGTCCTAAGGTATTTCGCTGTTTTCGACCTCTCGGGGCCCTCCCTGGGCCCTGGAACCTTCAAAAGCGACCCAGGACTGAGAGAAAAAACTTGGAAATCTCCAGTATCCAGGACCCGCTTCCCTCAAATCCCTTATTCCGAGGTTCTCCCTCCGCTTCCGCCGAGCCGGAAGACGGAACTCGAGTGCGTGTTCTTCTCAAAAGGCCAGTGCAACAGGGCCGCTGGCTGCCCCTTCGCGCACGGCCCAGAGGAGATGGCCCAGATCAGAAGCCTCCGGCAGGCGCGATGAGGGCGCTGACGTGCTCGTCGCGCGGGCGCAGTGGAGTCTGGGGCGCCTGGCGGCCACCACTGCCGCCGCTCCCCCCCCCCCTTGGGTCCAAGAGTTACAGCGCCTCCCTCGTAGGTACTGCTATCCTCCTCCCCCTCGTCTCCTCTTTCTCTGAATTCCTCACCCTTCTCCGCCTCCGCGTCCTCATCATCTTCCTCCGCCTCCTCCTCATCATCCTCGCACATTCCCAATTTTCACACCTCCCTTTCCTCCTCATCTTCCCCCGCCTCAGCTTTCCGTTCCTCCTCTTCCTTCGTCCTTCTTCTTCTTCTTCTCCTCCTCCTCCTCCTCCTCCTCCTCCTCATGCCCTTCATCGTATCCATCTCCTTCCTCCTCGTTCTCCTCTCCCTCCTCCTCGTCGGCCTCCTACTCCTTTTTCGCTTCCTCCTCCTGCTGCACCGCAGCGAGCAGCACGACGGACACTAGCAGCACCAGGGGCAGCACGAGGGCCACCAGCAGCACCAACGACGGGTCTCAGCATCACCTCTGTGAGCAGCTCGACAGAGTCCAGCAGTACCTCCGTAAGCAGCACCACGGACCCCAGCAGCACCATCGTGAGCAGCACGGACTCCAGCAGCCCTCCAGGAGCAGCAGGGCGGACTCTAGCAGCACCACCGGGGCAGAACAACGGGCTCCAGCAGAACCATCATTGGTACGGCCAGTCCCATCCTGTCAGCGCCGCCTGGCACGCGGGTTCGGCGGCGGTTCCGCGCTTGGCAACGGCAAGGTCTGAGGGCGACTGCATGTGCTTACCTCCCTCCCCCCTCCTCCTGCCCCTCCGGGGCCTATGTTCGGTACGGTTTTTTGTTGGGTACGCGTGCATGTGCCGGGCACTCCCGCCGGGCGGGCCGCTGTTACTCAGTGAGCCTCCAGCGCCCGCCGGTTGGAGCCGCCTTGAACGTTGTTCATGTTATACATGTCGTTGTTCTCTGTTTTGCCCCCTCCCGGCTGCGTCTTCACAACTACTCCATATGAATACTACTCTCCTCCTTCCCTTGATGACGGGTTGGGAGTGTTCGCCCCCCCCCCCGCGTTTTTTTTCTAACCACACAGGATTCCCCGGAGTTGGGTTTTCGCTTGCATTTTTTTCCAATATGCTGCTCTCGCTGGGGCGCCGGCCTCATTTTCGGGCCCCGCTCGTTCCGAATCGTGCTCCCGCTGCAGCGCTGGCCTCATTTCCGTGCTTACGCTCGTTCCGAATCGTGCTCCCGCTGCAGCGCTGGCCTCATTTCCGCGCTTCCGCTCGTGCCGAATCGTGCTCCCGCTGCAGCGCTGGCGTAATTACCCGTGCCATGTCGCGGCATGCAATGCAATGCTAGGTTGCGTTCCGCTGCGCGATGCCACGCCTTCAGCTGAAGCTGTAATATGCAGTGCTTAAGGGCCACGTCGTGCTATGCCATGCTACGCTTTGATCTGCAACGCCATGCTATGCAATGTTATGTTCGGGGCCGCTGTGCGATGCCATGCTTTGCCTTGTAAGGCTTTGTGATCAAATTCTTCACTACGCCACGCCACGCCATGCTGTGACATACTACGCCCTGCGGTGCTCTTCTACGCCATGCCATGCCGTGCTCTACAATGCATCGCGTACCCTTTCGGGATCATGGCCCTGCTCGACATCTGGCTGTGCGAGTAGAGAGGGGATCTACGCCATGGTAAGGGATGGGAGGTAGGGGTAGGCTGCCAGATATGACGCGAGCGCACCTAGCTTGCCCGTTTCGCCCTCCCGTTCTTCCTCCTGGCGCTGCTTTGCGGCATCCCCCTGAATACCTGGGGCGTCCGGACGCTGGTCAGGGGAATTTCGACCACGTTAGCACGACCGCCTGTCTAGTTGTGTGCGCTGGGCGTTTGTTCGCACGCTTTCCCGTTTCTTCTCCTGCTCCCCCTTCCCTCCTCTCTCCTGCCATGGTGAACGTATTTACTGCCTAGCCGTCGAGGCCGTTCAATACGGGCCCCACCCAAACAGTTTGGCAGGCCAGGGGATGATACGTCTTAGGGCTAATTCGTATCCTTCGCCTTTTGGTTCCTCTCTTCTCCTCCCCCTGCCGCTGCTGCTTGCTGCTACTGCTGTTGCTGCTGATGGTGGGTTCGCGAATGCGCCGGCACCAATCCTGCCCCTCCACCTCGTCTGGGGCCCGTGATGGAGGGGGGGTGAAAAGTGCGAGGTTGCCAATCGCCAGGCAGCGGTGCATCCACGCGGAAGCACCCGCTAACCCGCAGGACGGGATGGTCCGCCTGTGCGGACCTGCCTCAGGTCCCAGGGCCCCAAGGGAGCCACCCCCTGCCAGTTTCCATCCCCACCTCCTCCTCGCAGAGGGGGAGTGATGCGAATGAAATCGGCTCCCCGAGGGCGGCGGTACTTCCTTCCTTCTCCCACCCCTGCGCCAAAACGTCGTCACGTCAGCTACACGGCGTCGTCGATTCATCAAGGGGCACATGGGTGGAAAGGGGACGTGGGAAGAAAACAAGGCAAGCGGGGCGCTCCGGCCGCGAGGCCATCGTGGCACGTCCGGGCAAGTCCGTTCCCTCCGTCGCCCCCCTCCTCCCTAGCTGCTCATCCCCTCCGCCCCTCCCCATGACAGCTTGGCGGTAAAGAGAGGTAGCGGTGAGAACTGCGGGGTCGGCATCGACACAAAGGGATGGGTTGGGCGTGGCCGCGGTGGGGGTCCCCCTGGACAGGCGAGAACCAACGGCGACTGGGTTGGGCGTGCGCCTGCTGTTGAGCCTTCGAAAACCGCGAGTCGCCACGCGACCTCGTTCGGGCCTTGCTTTTTGCGGGGCGGCTGGAGTGGTTAAAGCCCTAGAGGATCAAAGCGAAACGCAGGCGGGCGATCGCACGGTTAAAACAACAGCACTTATACGACAGCGGTCGGCCCGCGCGCGACGACATCTGAAGTTGACATACACCAGCCTTCTGGGCGTTGGTGGGCGAAGTGCATCCTGCGCTGGTGAGTTCCTTTCCGCCCACAGAATCCAAGATCCCCCGATCCTACAGACGGCGAGGCGCGGCGGCAGCGCGGAACACGATGGTGAAGAAAATTGTAGGCCTCCTTCGGGTTCTTGGGCCCCCTGCTGCTGTTAGCTTGCTCTTTTCCTGCAGTTGGGTTGCTTTTTTCGGTTCCTAGGGGCTTCTGGTGGCCCCGTCACCGTCTTTGGCTGGTCGGGGAAACTTGGCAGCCTCAGGGGTGGGGCGCGCGACAGGAACATCTGGTGTTCGGACTACGGATGTACTTTACAAGTAGGGGTGCGGATTGGGCGCGGAGCGCATGCACAGTCGTTACCGCATCGTGCTGTGCTCTGCTGGCTTGCCAGCTGAAAAGGAAGTACCGTCATGTTGTATTTCTGGGGGGAGGGCATATAGGAGAAGGAAGGGAAGGTGGACCGTGAAACCGTACGCTGCGCAAGCCTATGTTTGGCCCCAGGTAATTGGTGAAATGTGTCGATGCCTATTCGTGCAGAACTAAAAACTGATGCATTCTCCGACGAAGAAACTGATACACGTTAAAAACGGAGGCATGTAGCGTGAAGAAGGAAAGAGAAATAAAAGGAAAGAGGGGAATGGGGATGATGCTTCCTCCATGCAGGCTGCCTGCGAGGACTCGACTGGCAGGTTCGCTGTCGCGGACTGCGGGAACGCCGACTCTGCTGCCCCCCGCCCCATCCTGATATCACCTACCCCTCCTCCACTGCTGACAGTGGCCAGTGCCAGCGAGGTTGCGGCGAGCTGTTCGCTGCGCCGTTAGTGCCGCGAGATCTCCCCCTCCAACCGATCACCCCATGCCGCCCCCACCGCCGCATCGAGGGAGGGAGGAGAAGGAAGAGGAGGGAAAGCAGGGGCAAACATCAGGGGAAGGTTGGGGAAGACTGCACTCAGAGAGTGGGGTGGGCGCTCACGGTGACCGCGTTGTCGCCGATCTTCATGCCATTGAGTCTGCCAATAGCGAGCTTCGCGGCGCGCTCGGTGCCGTACTGGACGTAGCCATAGCTGTTGGAGTGGCCCTGTGGGTCTGTGGCAATGTCGCAGGTGCGACAATGCCGCGCAAGCTGAAGGTGGCTTCCAGGGCCTTCTGGTCAAGGCGACAATCCAGGTTCGCGATGAGGACGGTGCACGCCTGCGCCTCCTTGACCGGATCGTGGCCGACAGCGGTCGTGTTCGCGACGTGGATTGTGAAAGGCGGCAGGGGGGCTCTGGCGCCATTGGCCTCCGCGAGGCCGCGCGCACCAGCAGGTGGCCCTGGCTGCTGTCGGCCAGCGGCGGCGGCGGCAGCGCTGTCGGTGTTGTCGCCGTCGTAGTCTTCGGTTATGCCCTGGGACTCGGTGTCGATGCCCTCCTGGCAGGCTCCTTGGCGCTTGCGGTCTGTTGCCCTGCTCAAAGCCTCGTCAGCTGCAGCCTTCACTTCGCTGGTCGGCGGATACGCCCCGGCAGGGCGAGGCGGAGCGTGGGGGAATAATTCTGGCGCATATTTCCTGAGCTGCGGCCAGTACCCCGGCGGTGCTGCAGGGCTGAGGTTGTACCCGTCGCTCTTGGCGTTGCCGTCGTCGGTGTTGGTGCTGGCGTCGCTGTGGCCGCAGGCGCCGCCACGCGCGTGCCTTGCGGCTGCCTCTGCGGCGAAGTGGCGCCGGCGGCGCGCCGCACGCCGGGCCGCTGAGGGCCCTAGCGCGGCGTGGCGATTTCCCAGGTACGGAGGTCGCTGGGCCGCCACGCCTTCGGGCAGCCACCCGTATGGCCGTTGTTCGACTCCTGGCTGTAGGCGTTGTCGGCGTCGCGGGCGCAGGACATGAGAAGAAAACAAACGATATGGAACGAAATATAATATGTGAGGAAAGGGCACGCAAGAAAGGGGTGTGCGAGACGATGTCCTGCGGACGAAGATGCGGTAGTCGCCGCGCCTTGAGCCAAAATGGCTTGAGCCAAAATGGCTACGGACTCTTCTCCCCCTCCTCTCCTTCTTCTTCCCCTCTTGATTGCGCTGTATTTTTTGGGTTATATACCTTCGCCTCGTCCTCCCTCTTTGCCTGCTCACCCCCCTTCCCCCACTCCGCGCAAGGTGCTGCAAATGTCCCGGGGCCGGTGCGGCGCAGCCAGCGTTCAAATTGTTAAGCATTTTTGCGCCTTGTCCGGCGTTAAAACTGTTAAAGCTGTTTTGGCTGAAAAGATCGCGCGTACGGAGTGCGCGCGCAGTGCGATGCAACAACAAAAAACCTTCACTTCCTCATCATTATTCTCTTCCCCCTCGCCTCGTATCAGAGCCTTGTCCTCTCCCTCCTCATGGCATGAGTTGGATCGCGCGCATTATGAACAGAACGCCTGCTCTGTCGAGCACACCGTCCAGGTCTGGGGAGGAGAAGGAAGAGGAGGAGGAGGAGGAGGAGGAGGAGGAGGAGGAGGAGGAGACGAAGACGAAGACGAAGACGAAGACGAAGACGAAGACGGACGAGGAGGAGAAGGAGGCCCCGCCGGCGGCGGCCCGGCGGCGGCGCCGCCGGCCGCGCCGCCGCCGCTCTCCTACAGGGCCCTGAAGAAGGCGCTGCAGGCGAGCCCCGGGGGCAGCCGCGCGGCAGCCGGCGGCGGGCGCTTTGAACACTGGCGGGTTGTGGTCGCCCTGCCGACGGCGCTCGCCGCCTTCTGCCGCGTGTGCGACCGCGTAGCAGAGGGCCGGGTCCCCGAAAGCGCCGCCGCGGTCCTGGCGGTGGCGAAGCTCACGCCGCTGCGAAAGCCCGGCGGCGGGGTCAGGCCCATCGCCGCGCCGAACCTTTTACGGCGGCTGGTGGGCCGGGCTCTGGTGACCCCTCGGAAAGCGGAGCTGGCCGAGGCCCTGGGGCGGCAGCAGTTTGCCGTGGGCATTGCTGCGGGCACCGAACTACGTAACACGGCGCGGGCACTCGCGGAGGCCAACCCCCACCTTGCGCTGGTGGCGCTGGACGCCAAGAACGCCTACTGCTCCGCCCGCCGGGAAGCCTGCCTCCGCGGCTTGGGGGAGGTGGCGCCCGCGCTCCTGCCCTACGTCAGCCTTTCCAGCCGCCGAGAGTCCCTGTACTACTTCTGGGACGCGGCTGGGGTCTGCCACCGCTTACGCTCCACCAGCGGGGTAGACCAGGGGGACCCGCTGGCGCCGCTGCTTTTCGCCTGCGGGATGCGGCACCACCTGCCAGCACGGGAAAACTCCCTGAGAGAGGCGGCCGAGCAGCAGGGGTTCAACCCAGACGATGTGCACGTCTTCGCCTACTCGGATGATGTCGTCGTGCCGGTTCCCTCGGCGCTCGCGGGCGGGGCGCAGGCGGCCGCGCTGATATCCCTCGACGGCCTTGGCCTGGAGCTGGAACCAAGGAAGACGCAGGCCGGGTCCAGGGGCGCAGCTTGCCCGCCGGAGCTACAGGAGCAGTGGCGGGCGCGCGGCCTGACCCTGGTGGGTGTCCCCCTGGGGGAGCCGCTGCCTCCCGGCAGGCTGCCGGACGAAAGCGACGGGCGCCGGGTGGACTTCGGCGCGGAGGACTACGCGGCGGCGCGCTGCGCGGAGACGGCGGGGCGCGCGGCCGAGCTGCTCGCCAAGCTCGCGGCCCTCCCTGGAGCGGCCTCGCCCCACCTGCCAGCTCTACAAACCGCCGCACTGCTGCTCTGGCACACTGGAGCGAGCAAGCTGACGCACCTTCTCCGCACGAACACACCGGCGAGCTCGGAGGCCGCCGCGGCGGCTTTCGACAACGCGCTCCTAGCCGCCTACGAGGAGTTCGCGCGCTTGGACCCGCTGACAGAGCTGCAGAGGACCTGGTGCCAACTGCCACTGCGCCTCGGCGAACGCGGCTTTCGCAGCCAGCGGCAGCTGGCGCCGGCGGCCTGGGCCGGCTCCTAGGCGCAGAACCTGATCGGGGTGAGGGAGCGCACGGGGCTCGCTTGCTTGGCTGACCTCGAGACCTGCCCCTTGCCCGCGCCTGCCGCGGCGCGCTGGCCGGGCTCGCGCAGCTGGCGCCGCCTCGCGCGGGCGCGGAGGCGGCCGAATTACCCACCTGGCAGGACTTGGCCGACGCGCCGAAGCCGAAGCTCCAGAAGTCCCTAACAGCAAGAGTCGCCAAGAAAAACTACGATTCTCTGCTGGGGGCCCTGGAGCCTGAGGCGAAGGTGTTCCTCCTCTCCTGCGGCGGGCCGCACGCCGGCGCCTGGCAGACCGCCTCCTCGGGCCTGGCCGCGCAGCGCCTGGGCGATGTTGGCTACGCCCGCGCGGCGCGCACGCTGCTCGGCCAGGCCGCGGCCCCCCCAGGCGCCACCTGCTGCAACGCCGCGCGGACCAGGGAGCGGGCCGGGCAACGCTGCGGCGAGCCGCTCGGCGACCTGGCGCACCACGCCTGGCGCTGCGCGCGGGGGGGCGGCACCAAGGCGCGCAGCGGCCCTCGAGTGCGCCTGGGCCTCCATCCGCGCCAAATGCGGCTACCGGGTGGAGCGCCAGGTGCACGTCCCCGCGCGGGACCGCTGGCGCTGGCGTTGCCAGGGCTGCGAGGCGAGCGGGCGCGCGCCGGGCCCACCCACGGGCCCCTGCGCCACCTGCGGGGCTGCGCTGCGGACATAGAAGGCGATCCTTGACCTCGAATTTCAGCGGGCGGGCTGCCCCTGGCTGTTCTTCGACGCCACGGTGCGCTATTGCGTACCGGGCGACGCCCGCGCCCTGGCGGCCGCGGCTGGGCGCTGCGGGGCGGTTAACGCCGAGACGGAAGCCGACAAGCGCCGGCGGTGCCCCGCCGACCGCGCCCCGTGGGGCATGGTGCCCCTGGCACTGGAGACTGGCGGGCGGCACGGGGCAGCCGCCCGCGCTGCTGGGCGAGGACGCCGCGCCTGCTGCGGCGAGCTCCCTGGCGGGCCGCTGGGGGCGGGAGTTCAGCGTAGCTCTCCACCGAGCCACGGCCCGCCAGCTCCGGACTGCGCTGGGCGCGGACCGCGCCAGGGCCGGCCGGGCGGCCGAGCTGCGGGCCGCCGCGGCGGGCTAGTTGGGCGGGGGCGCAGGCGGGTGGACGTCGTCTGCCACTGGTTCTTCGCGCTGCAGTGCATCTTCGTCTCGCTGTTCCTGCTGAACAGAGGGTGTGGGGGCATGTGTGTCGTGGTGCCTTGACCGCTTTCTGGGCACTTGCAGGAGAAGGAGGAGGAGGAGGAGGAGGAGGAGGAGGAGGAGGAGGAGGAGGAGGAGGAGGAGGAGGAGAGAGAGAGAGAGAGAGAGGGTGGGGAGGCGGGATGAGATACATGTCTTCGTAAGCCCAGGACACGCATATAGGGTGCACGACACGCCGAGCACGTTTCTTACACCCGCTGCGCCTGGTTATGTATACGCCCAGGCTCTCTGCGAACGGACAGGAGAGCGGGACCGACAATCGCTTCACGTGCTACTGCCACTGCATGGCGGGTTCATGGGCAATGACTGGAGTGTTCCGAGTCCCTGAAAAGCGGTACAACATAATTGGCGCCGCGTCTGCTATCCACATCTTCGTTCTCCCCTCTTTCCCGCTTTCCATTCTACCCCTCTCTATCCCTCACTCCTGTTTCCGAAAAAGGATGAGTCAGCACGTCTCCCAAAGGGAACGCCGTTGGCGACACAAGGTCACGGAACTCCCACGGGCAGGGGCCCGGGAGTTGTTCCGTAACGGTTCTGGAAACCACGCTGGTGGCTCTGAGAATTGTGTTTTTCGTCCCTCCTCGTATTCCCTTCTCCCCTCATCCCTCCTCGTCGGCCGCCTCCTCGCCTCCCCCCGCCTCTTCCATTCTCCCTTCCCCCGCGTCTTCCCCTCATTTTCCCTCCTCCCTCACTCCCTCCCTCCCCCCTTCGGGGGGCTCCATGTAAGACCTTGTTCTCAAAATTGCGCTCGCTTCGGGGACCTGGCCCAAGGAAAACGGCGAGGACAGGGACGAGAACGACGGCGACGAGGACCAGGACCACAACGATGATGACGACGGCCTCACGAAGCCAGCGCCCCTCCTCCTCATACGGCTCCTCCCGCGGAGTTCCCGCGGAGATTCCCAGAGATCTCCTGCGGAGGTCCCAAGCGGGAAGCAGGTTCTACCATTCCCGACCATCTTGTGATACTGGCCCCTTATTTTGAATCCGCAGCGTTCGTCGTCTCACCATCCACGTCCTCCCTCCTCCTCCTCCTCCTCCTCCTCCTCCTCCTTCTTCTTCTGCTCTCCGCATGTCCATGCCGGCACACCCCTCACACGCTTCGTGACCCCAGAGGGAGTTCCACCGAAGGCCTAAGTGGCACAGTTCGCATGCCGCCGTCCCACCCATGTTGGCACACGCCTCACACATTTCGTTGCCCTACAGGGATCTCCACCGCGAAGGCCCCAGTGGTACGGTTCGCATGCCCCGCCCATCACAACACATTCCTCACACGCTTCATGGCCCCATGGGACCGACGGCCCCAGTGGCACAGTTCGCATGCCGTCGTTCCGTCCATTTCAAAGCACCACTTATACGTTTCGTGGCCCCTCAGGGAGCTCCACTGAAGGCTCCAGTGGCGTCTTTCGCATGCCCTACCCATAATGGTACACTCCTCTCACGCTTCGTCGCCCCAAAAGGCCGACGGCCCCAGTGGCTGGCATAGTTCGCATGCCGCCGCTCTACCCAGGTCAGCACACCCCTAGCACGTTTCGTGGCCCCACAGGGACCTCCACCGAAGGCCTCACTGGCATGGTTCGCATGCCCCACCCATTGCGGCACACCCTGCTCATGCCTCGTGGCTCCATAGGACGGAAAGCCCCAGTGGCACAATTCGCACGCCGCCGCCCCACCAATTCCGGCACTCCCCATGAGACTCTCCGTGGCTCACAGGGAACTCCACCGAAGGCTCCACTGGCACAGTTCGCATGCCGCTGCCCCATCCATTCCCCCCATCCATTCCAGCACACACACACACACACACCACACCACACGTTCCGTGGACCCACGGGAAGCTCCACCGATGGTTCCAGTGGCAGAGGAGGAAGCCTACTGTTTCTTCCGCGCCGACTCCTTCCGAACGACTTCTTCTGGACCGCTTCTTCTGGACGACTTCTTCCAGACCGCTTCTTCCGATGACGATTTGTTTCGCGACTTTTTCTTTTGGGCGACTTCTTTCGAACCATATCTTCCGGATGACTTCTTCCGGACGACTTCTTCCGAACGATTTTTTCCGAGCCGTCCGAAATTTTCTCTCCCGCTTCGTCTTGCATCCTCCACCTCCTCCTACTCTTTGGTTTGTTTTTCCTTCTCCCTCGATCTGGTCGGCGACGGTCTCGTCCGAAAACGGCCTCGTCCTAGAACGGTTTCTTCCGCGACGACTTCTTCCAGACGATCTCTTCTGGACGATTTCTTCCGAACGACTTCCGGACGATTTGTTCCGGACCCTTTCTTCCGGACGATTTCTTCCGGACGATTTCTTCTGGACGATTTCTTCCGAGACGATTTATTCCGGACGATTTGTTCCGAGGAGATCTTCTGGGCGAGTTCTTCCGAAGGTGTCTTATTCCGAGGTGTCTTCTTCCGAGCAATTTCTTCCAGAAGAGTTTTTCCGGAAGATTTCTTCCGATGATGATTTCTTCTGGGGCGATTTCCTTTGGGCGAGTTCTCTTGGAAAAGTTCTTCCGGGCGACTTCCGATGGTGACTTCTTCTGGGGCGCCTTTTTCTGGGCCTTTTCTTCCAGGCGATTTCTTTTGGACGATTTTTCCCGAGGGTGAGTTCTGCCGATATGATTTCTGCTCCGCTCTTTCTCCCAGGCGTCCCATTATCCTTTCATCCCTCCTCACTCCTAACTCCTCCTCCTGCCTCTTGCTTGCTCTTCCTTCTCCTTCCTCCTCCTTCCTGCCTTCTCCCTCCTCCCTCCTGCTTCTCACCTCCTCCTCCTGTTCCCTCCGCCCTTCTCCCTCCTTTTTCCTCCCAAGTCCCCCCCCCTCACGCTTCGTTCATCTCTCCTCTTCCCTCCTCCCTCGTCCCGTTACTCGGCATGCGGCAATGCTTGCGGAGCGGAAACTGAAACTATTCCACTGTTTTCGCTACGTGGCACACGCCTGGGGGGGCGAACAAATGACCCCACTCTCCTCGCGACGTGGCAACGCTTGCGGGACTTACACAAATACTATTCCGCGCGAATTGTCAGGTGGAATCAGCGGGGCAGCGAACACACAAACTGCTGCTACTCCTCTGTGCTCGCCGCATGGCAACGCCACGTGGCAAGGCCTGTGAGGTACACAAAGATACTATCCCACTCAACTCGCCACGTGGCAACGGCATGGGGAGCGAACAGGAAATAGAGATACACTCAAGTCATCACGTGACAATGCCGCGCGGACCGAACATAGACATTCCTACTGCACTCGCCACATGGCAGCATCTGGGGAGGGCGACCCGTTCGCTACGGGGCAACGACAGGCCGGCGGACAAAACACAATACATTTTTGCGCGCAGCGTTGCCAAACCTCACAATTTTGTCGCATTCGACGTGGCAACGCCGCGGAGGCGAACACCAAGTTCTACTCGGCACGTGGCTCCAACGCGGACGCAGACCACGACGATGACGACGATGACGGCAAAGACGAGAACGACGACGACGGACGACGATGACGACGACGGGCGACGATGCCGACGAACACGACGACGACGACGACGGCGATGACGGCGACTACAATGAGAACGATAATGACAACGACAATGACAACGACAATGACAACGACAATGACAGCGATGACATCGATGACGACGGCGACGATGACGATGACGATGACCACGATGATGATGATGATGATGATGATGATGATGATGATGATGATGATGATGATGATGATGATGATGATGATGATGATGATGATGATGATGATGATGATGATGACAACCACGCCGCCGCTGCGGCCGCCGCCAGCCAGCCTGCCCGCCCGCCTGCCCGCCCGCCTGCCCGCCCGCCCGCGCGCCCGCCCGCCCGCGCGCGCGCAGCACGCTACGTGGCTACGCCGGGGGAGCGAAACAGATAATGCTCCGTTCTGCGTTCAACGTGGCAACGCTCGAGGGGCGGAAACGAGTACTCCACTGTACTTGCCACGTGGCAGCGCCTGAGCACGTGGCAACGAAGAAGCCGGGAACTCATGCTACTCAATTCTACTCGCCACATGACAACGCCACGTGGCAAGACCTGATCAGAAAGGCAAACAGAAATATTGTCCCACTACACTCGCCACGTGGCAACGACACGGGGAACGCACAAGAAAAACACCTCCGCTCTACCCATCACGCGGCAACTCCGCGGCGCAATCTTTCGGGCGACTTCTTCCGACAGGAGTTCTTCCAGGGCGAATTCATCCGGGCGACATGGGGAGCGAACAATAAGTACAAATAATTACGTGGCAATGCCGCGCGGACCGAAACATTACACAATCCCACTCTACTCGCCGCGTGGCAACGCCGCGGGGCGGGAACACATAAAGCGCCATTCCGTTCGCAATGGGGCAACGACAGGCCGGCGAACAAAACACAGTTCAATTTTACGCTCAAAATTGCCAAACCGCACATGTTTGTTGGACTCGATGTGGCAATGCCGCGGAGGCGAAAACCAAATTCTACTCGGCACGTGGCTCCAACGCGGACGCAAACCACGACGATGACGACGACAACGACGAGTACGACGATAACGACGACGGGCGACGACGACGACGACGACGGCGACGACGACGACGACAACGACAATGACGACATCGACGACGACGACGATGCCGATGAAGATGGTGATGATGATGATGATGATGATGATGATGATGATGATGCTGATGCTGATGATGGTGATGATGATGATGATGATGATGGTGATGGTGATGGTGATGGTGATGGTGATGGTGATGGTGATGATGGTGATGATGATGCCAATGGTGATGATGATGCTGATGATCATTATGATGATGATGATGATGATGATGATGATGATGATGATGATGATGATGATGATGATGATGATGATGATGATGATGATGATGATGATGATGATGATGATGATGATGATGATGATGATGATGATGATGATGATGATGATGATGGATACTATCCCACTCCACTCGCCAGGTGGCAAGGACATCGTTCGTCCTCCACGTCTCTTCCTCGTTCCTCTCCGTCATCCTCGTCCCCCTTCCGATCCTCACACCTCCCCGTCCCCCCTCCTTGCTCCTCCTCCCAGGCCTTTTTATCCTCCTCTCCTCCCTCCTCCCTCCTCCTCCTGCCTCTTGCCTCCTCTCCCTACTTTTCCGTCCTGCCTCCTCCCTCCTCCATCCCTCCTCTCACCTCCTCCTCCTGCTCCCTCCGCCCTCCTCCCTCCTGCCTCCTTCCTACCCCCCATCCTCTATCTTCGTTCCTCTGTCCTCTTCCCTCCTCCCTCAGCCCTCTACTTGGCACGCGGCAATGCCTGTGGAGCGGAAATTGAAACTATTCCACTGTATTCGCCATGTGGCAAACACTTGGGGGGCGAACGAATGTGCTACTCCGCTTTCTTCGCGACGTGGCAACGCCTGCGGAACTGACAAAA